TTGTGATCTGAAATTGAAACCTCCTTATGAAACCTTGAACTGAATGCCGGCTCTGGCTGGGTGTAGCCACGCGAAGTGGTGGCCGAGCACGCACGACGGTGCTGAGAGACGGGAGGCTTGCGCGTGGCCGACCGTTGACTCGCACGCGAACTGCAGCCGCCATCACCGTACGCACGAACTCCCCAAGTCAGCGTATACGGCCAACCATCGATGTTTTTCCTGAACTGTTGAAACCGTTTCATGTTGGAATACTTGTTATCCTTTTAAAACCCTTTTCGTTTGAACCTTGAACCGAGAGCTCCAAGTCCCTCTAAATGTGTGTAAATCCTTAATCGATGATTTCTGATTAAGGAGAGTAGGCAATGAGTCCCTATGTCTTATTTGAGAGTTCCTCAAGTGGGCAAATTGGGAATGTCGTATTGCTATTGGTCAATCTTTATGTTGCACATAAGGGTTGCGTTCGACTCGTGGAGTCGATATCGTGTGAGTATGAGCATCTGGGTTGTGCTGTATACTGTGTCGTTGTCTCTGATGGAGACACACGGTCCGTGATAAAATCGTGAGCTAATTATCAGTATGACTTGGATACGAGACTGAAACTTGGCGTCACGTGCTCACCTTGTTGGTGAGATAGTCGGAGTACGCTGGCAATACACCGAACGACCTGCTGAGGTCTTGTGTGTTGTTAGGTACAGAGTTAATTGTTGATACTCATGGGTATAGGCCAAGTCGGACTGAGTCTCTTGCAAGATGTGCGCCTGAGCTCAGGCAGGACTGATCACCCTCCAATGCAATAAGGCAAACATATGAGCATAAGGCTAGTCGGATTGAGTCGTGTACGTGAGTGTATGCTTTTCGAGTATGTCGTTTTTCTATAGATGCGTGTTCTTTCGTATTTCCGAGGACGGAAATATTTTAAGGAGGATAGATTGTAACGCCCCGTTCGATTTACAGAATTTCTCGAAATATTCTATTTATCGAATATTATTTATGAGATTATATTTATTTATTAGTCGCGATGTCGGCTTAAATAATAGGTTAGAGTACTTGATCGTTTTATTTTAAAATATTCATTATTTGGCGATTTTGTTTAATCGCGTAATTCGGATTTAAGCCGTTCGATTATGTGATTTATTTTTGGATATTATCATTATTATTATATTATTAATGCTATTATTCTATTATATGTCTAATTGATTATTGCTATTATTATTATAATTATTTTGCTAAATGCCTAATTGCCTAATTGTTATTGTATGATTAAATGTTTATTATTTAATAAGATATTATGTGAATTATATATATATATATATATATATATATGGGTTAATTTATTTTAACGTCGCGTTGGCATGAATATTAGCATCGAATATCGTTAGCATTGAACCGAGATAGGACCGGGCCCGAAACCGCGTGTGCCTGACGCAGTCTTATATTTAATTTTCGCCCCATTATTGCTAATTCTTTTGGCCCAAAAATCAGACCCTTTGAGCCCAAGTAACCCCATCCAAGCAGCCCATCAGCACCTAATTACCTCGTCTTCTCCATCGCAGAAAGGGGAAAAATCTTATTTTTCACAGCCGACCCTAGATCTTCATCTCTCATGTTCTTTTTCGACTTCTATCTCCCCAGACCATATCCCGATGTCATGAAGTACCAGATTCCGGCGAGTCGAGCACCACCAGCGTGACGATGAGCAGAATCAGCACCGGTCGAGAAACCTCCAACGCGGTTGTAGAGAAGACCTTGTTGCGGCCCACCAGGTTCAGATGAATCTCCGGTGCGACTAGCGAGATTCCCAGCGAGCGAGTTTCGTTCTTAGATTGAAGGAACCTCCGACCGACGACCTAATCCTCGTTCGATGACTCGTTTGTGCTCTGTTCCGGCGTACTTGACCAGCGGCATGCCTCGACCTCTGCCCTCGAACCAGCAGGCGACCTCTCTTCCAGCGGTGACCTTTGGCCGAGAATCAGGCATCAACCCGTACTTCAGCAAGCGAGCAACAACCATCAGTCGGCGTCTTCCCCTACAGCACTGATTGTCGACTAAGCCTCTGCATTTGAACAACAAGACTCCAAGGCTGGGAACTACCGCAGCCGAGCCTCGAGACACCACACCGGCGAGTCCATCCCCGAGCAAGTGGTTCTATTCGATCATCGCAGCAACCCATCCCATCGCTGCCCGTTTATGCGAGCCTTCTCCGCGAGCAGGTACGAGTTGACGGTGCCGAGAATCCATTCGTTGAGCAGCAGTTGTGAACCATGCTCCACAGCCACCGAGCCCTTCATTGACATTGTGAACCCTCCTTCGGTGAGTCCCTGCTCCTCCGCGACACCTCGCTGTTCGCCGCTAGTTCCGGTTCGCGTCGCATCGTTGTCCCAAGGTCCCGTGGTCCCGAGTGTGCGGTCCCGAACCTTTGATGTTGTCCGTACAATTTCAGCTCGCGTACCACGTCGCTGCCCAACAACTCGGCGGACCCGCAGGCCTCTCACGCGTGCATAACCGACCCCGTTCGGCCTCCTTTTGAACGATTTTCGTAACCCCGTCCCGAGAACGGTACCGGGTTGACTCTCGACTCATTTATCTCGCTCTTATATGTGTTTAAGTGCTCGTATACGTGTTAAATTACTAAAACGTGTGTCATTCGAGTTAATTCGTGCCTTAGATATGTGTTTGTGAGAATTTTGATATATATATATGTCATTTGGATATCAAAGTGATTGCCGTCACTTTGAAAAATTATCGAACTGAGTTTCGAGTACTTATTTATGTGGAAGTGCTGTGGATTATTGGACTTAGGATCGTCTTTGACGCAACGGCTTTGGCCCCGCGTCGTTTCGATGTGTATTGAATTAGTTATGAATTTTTGAAAAACGTGCTGCAGCCGGTTTTTGTTAAAATCCCTATAAATCGTGTGTTTGCCCAAAAATTCTGATTTTTGGATATGTTGTAATGTTGC